AACAGGAGATTGGCTAAATCAACTGTGGAATGCAACAGAATTCTACCCAGCAATGAAAATAAACTACAGCTACATGTAACTCAGTAAAATAACTATGTAAAAGAAGCAAGTCACAGGGAACACAGAGTATGAGTCCACTTACATAAGGTACAAAACAAGCCCCATTAATGTTCTGGCGCTATGTCACAGATAATGAAGCTGTCAGTCCCTTGCAGAAGCAGACACTGTGGATCTGAGGTAGCAGAAGAATTTTAAGTCTGGAGAGCTGCACTGCCATCAGTCACTTGGACTGGCCAGGCAGCCACACTGGCGAGTCACAGAGAGGGGATTCTGTATGCTGTCCACCATGATTTTAAGAATTTAGACAGTTAAAGAATGGGGAGACATTGTAATGCCATTGCGCTCCTCCCTAAACATATCAAAGATCAGTAAAAAAAAAAACACTGATGTAAAGCTTAAAGTTCCTCAGTACAAAACATTTACTCTAATTTTAAAATGTTTATGTTGCCTAGTTACCACATGGTTTATCAAAAATAATTCCTCAATATCTATTATCTTCAGAGAGCTTCACATTTGGGTGTGCTTCTTTGATTATTACTTAGATACCAACTCCTTCCTAAAAGCATATGCAGCAGCCTCAGTGATTTATAAGTTTAAAGGGAAAAAAATGTACCAGACACAAGCCAAGCATGTGTTATAATAGTGGCTCATTAAAAGTACAACTGAATAGCACTGTTATGTTTTTGCTCTTTGGGACTCTGCTTCCAAAGTCCATTTCTCTCCAAAAGAATAGCTCCTGGCACTAAAATAAATATTCTGTAATCATATTAACTGGGGACTTTTTTCACCTTTCTATTTTTTCCTCCAATGCATATAACTCTAATGTGTTTATCCTCACTATGGATAAATAGCAAAGTGACTCTGATATATTTAGGTGTAAGCACCTAAAAGAACACCTGGAACAATAGCTGGAAAATGTTAAGCCTTAAAAAGAAACCAAATAAATCTGCTTGCCAAACAAACATTTAAACAAAACTACCACACATACACACACACACACACACACACACACACACACAGACACACACACACACACACACACACAAAAGCTAGTTTAGCATGCCGGTAAAAGAACCAGAGAAGCTAAGCTCTAACAAAGGTAAGGGAAAGTTATTGCCAAACATGTCAAAATAAAAGGCTTTAGACAAATTGAAGAGGTTCATTTGTTATCATTAAGGGGGAAAAAGGTTAAATCAGCAAAGAATAGTTTCTTTCTTGGCAATAACAGCTAGTCAATTTGTTTTTAGCTTTTTGAGAAATCATTGTACCAAATTTTTACTCTTTCTTCCTGAAATTCAATATGTGAAATTATAGTTACAAGTGAAGATCTATCACAATTTTATCAAGAATTGTGAGGGTGCTGAGATTTTATTCAACTTGTAAGCTAACAAGTTGGCCTGCTAATTGTTATGGATGTTATACGAAGACACAACACTCCTGGGTCAGAGACAAAGGATTTTATTAGTCTCTCACAGCATGACATGGATTTGAGGTTTTGTCACTTCCACTTGGTGCTCAAGTCCCAGAGGGTGCTATGGAGGGGCTTAGGTGGATGTGGAGCTTGCAGTGAGGGTGGGGCTTGCATCACACCTAAACAACCTTGAGTCTGAGGAACATGACTTGTTCATAATGGAGCCTTGCCCTGGAGGGAAACATATCTTCTAAGGCTGTTCTCCTTATAAATATCCTTGGAAAAATAGTTCAGAATCAAAAAGGCAGTTAGTGCTTCTGCTTGCAAGACATGTAGAAATGTAAGAGACCCTTCTCAACACTCTCATTAAACAAAACAAAAAACAAAACTGAAGACTTTGAAATTGCATTGCAGTTATAGATAAATTTGGGGAAGGGCTGCATCTTTCTCATATTGAGTTTCTTAGTCCATGAACACTGTATGTATTTCCATTTACTCAGGCCTTTTATGTGTTTCAATAAAGCTTTATAATTTCTTATCTTTATGAAAGACTATCCTTGAGTGCTTTGTAGTTTCTGTTGCTAATGTAAATGGTATTTTTACATTATTTAAAACAGTTTAAAACAATTATCCAATTCTCCCTGGTATATAGGAACACAAAGATAATAATTGTCTTTCTGAACTGTGTATCAGGTAACTTCTGGTAACTACCAGGTAACTCCCTCTCTGCTTTGTCAATCAATAGTATTCCACAAATATTAGTGAGCCTCTTGTTATGTGTCCTTGGGGTGGGCTGTAAAAACAAGAAGACCTTAATGGAGCTCTGACTATGTGCCAGGCACTATACCTATGCTTTCTATGTAGCAGCTCTTATATTTCTCAAAACACTCTATGAGATAAACTCCATTATTTAGATCGGAACAATGAAAGAGAAAAGATATATAACTTGCTTAAGATCAGACACTATAAGTTTAAGAACATTTTAACTGCTCTTACGGGATTTCCAGTCCCTTCCTGGCAGCAGGGTAGACTATAATCTAGTTCTGGCCAAGTCTGGCAGAATGGAGACCAGTTAGGAGACTTAAAAAATATAGAGTTGAGCCTTAAGATTTATATATGTGTGAAATTTTCAATTCCTGAATAACAGTGACTTTTCTCTCTGGTAGGGGTTTTCTAAGATTGGTTGAAATATAGCTACAGCCCTCAAGTCAGAAGACTTAGGTTGGAGTCCTGCCCCACAACCTCCTAGCTTTTTAAGGTGTGCAGGCAAGCAGTCTATTTGCTTCAAGTCTTCATTTTCAAGGCCACTAAGAAAATACTCCTTGTTCTATTTCACAGGCATAGAAAGGGAAGCAAGTAAGAAAATGATAGCAAATTGTATAAAGTGTCATAAAATATAGGTAATTAAAGTGCAAATTATTATAAAAATGGAGGTATTGCCTCTTACTCTCCAATTTAGACAGTGTCTATATAATATCCATCCATCCCATTTTTATCTTCAGTTAATTTCAGACCAATTCAGCAAATATTTCATTGATTACTATAAAGCATATTCAGGGCTAGACATTGGGGAAATAAACATTAATAGGGTGTGATGTCTGCCTTCAAGAAACTCATAGTCCAATGGGAGAGAGACCACTAACCAGGCAATTATGAGAAAGTGTGAGCTGCTCTTTAAAAGGGATATAATGGAGGACTTATGGGAATGCAGATAAGGGACATCTAAATCAGATAGGGTTGGAGTGGTTGGACAATCAGAGTCCGTGGCTCAGAGAAGGTGGGACCTGAAGAGGAAACCAGGACTTAGTCAGTTACGGGACTCAAGGAGCTGTTTGTGCAAAATTGCAGGCTACATTTGGGGACCTTTGCATTGATATATATAACTAGAACACAGAACACCCAAGAGAGTGTAAGAAATGAGGCTAGACTGACCACCAGGGAACAGATAACTAAAAACTTTGTATGCCATGCCGATTGGAGACCATATTCAGAAGACTCAATGAAGGATTTTAAAGAAAGACATGAACAAATCAGCATGCTAGATAATTCTTCCTGGCGGCAGGGTAGACTATAATCTAGTTCTGGCAAAGTCTGGCAGAATGGAGACCAGTTAGGAGACTTAAAAAATATAGCATTGGGCCATATGTCATTCAGATTATAACATTCTAAAAAGAGAATGGCAGAATGATGTGAAATTAAAAGGCAGATTCAATATTTAATAGAGAGAGTACACAGATCTGTATGTGGCCAAGGGCTATGACAAGTGAAGGATAAAGAGGCTTCATCAAAAGTGACTTCTGTTTTACTGGTCCCATCTATTGAATGGGTGACAATCAGGCAAAAACTATGGGAAGGATGAGATGTAGCAGAAGGAAGCATGGGGGGCGCTGACTGGTGAGTTGGGTATTTGAACATGTTAAGTTAGAATATCACAGAGCAAATATCCACTGTGTGTCAGGCACAAAAGGGGAACTCCCAAAGAAGCAGTGAACACAAGTCTCTTCCTCTGTGATCTGGTTGAGAATACACATATTTGAATAAGCTATTCATGGCAAGACTTGATAAATGCTGGGGCCAGTGAGGCCTTCAACAGTGAACAGCAAATTTTATCAATGAGTTATACCATGGTAGTTGTATCCTAAATCACAGAGTGAAGAAAAACCCTGACAATGTTAGTTTGGAGTCTGTCTGAATTTTAAAAAACCATTTATGAATAGTGAAATGATATCACTTTCTATAATGAGGCTTCAGAGAAACATACTTATTCTGAAAATGATTTTGTCTTTGTTAAATATGACAAATTCGTAGAACCTTTGCATCTCAGAGCTAGGAAGTCTCTAAATATCAATCAGCTAACCATCAAATGTTTATGTCCCTCTATAGATTCAGCAATATCAGCCTGATCCAAATTTTATCCCTTGTCACAGAACTGATTCGACAACTGCAACAGTATTAAAATTTTGTAAATTAAATCCATCATTTAGCAATATGCTTTTCCCAACATCACACAGACAGTGAATTATTTCTCAAATCAATTCACTGGTATATGCCATTTTTCCTAAGTCAGAAGGACATGTGATCTGTCTTAATAATTCATTCTTTAATCCCTAACTGATCTAAAAACTACTGTATTTTTTTTTGTGGTGGTGAGCTTCAGTAAGAGAAGTCACAGGAAAATAGAAGGAGTGTGAAGCAAAAATTATGACTTCTTTCAGATCTCCCTTTAACCCCAACTCAGAGACTTCCTAGCTTGCAGGCAAGTCACGCCACCACTTCAGCTAGATTTCCTCTCTTACAAAGTGGGCATTGTGGGCCCTTAATGCTATACACTAATATGCTTGAAAAATGCTTGGTTTCCAATAAATGCTTAATGAATGAGGCCTCCAAGACATATGCTAAATGAAACAAGATATAAAACCAAGAAAATAATATGCTAACAATACATAGCCTTTGTGGTACCATTCAAACTAACTGACCCAAAACGGAACTAACTGTCTATACCTGACTGGCCCCAAGGCAGTCATCTTACCTTCAGTGGGTAACCCAGGAATCAAAGATGCAGTTGGCGCTTGGAGAGATGACCCAGGACAATTCAATTAAAAAAAGCCTGAGTGTGGTCACAAAGTCTGGAAATTGGTGAATGCACATAACAAAGGATATATTAGTATAACTTTACAATACATGGTATCTTCTAGAACACGTATGTCTGTATTTCCAGGCTTTACAACCTACAAATAAGTTCATTCACTACAATCACAAAGCCAAAGTCTCTTCCCACTTTACAAATCCAGCCTTCTTTAAACTGCACCTAAACCTTTAGTTTTCTTCCCTCTTGAGATTGTCACTGAAGTTCCTCTTTCGCTTACACACAAATGTAGGCCCAGATGGGGGACATTTTACTTTCACAACAGGATGCCTTGTCTGTGTGCTATGCCCCCAAAGGTGTCCCTGCGCCCACCTTACACCATTGAGGATGGAAATGAGACTAATTGCCACCACCAAGTAAGAGAACATGCCCCTTGGGAAAACCTGTACACAGAAATCTGCCTTTCTGGACAGTCAGCCTCACACAGTAGCAGTCAAAGCTCACAAAAATAACATCAGGAATGAGTGGTTGTCTGATGTTCTGAAATCATCAAAGCAGTGATCTATGCTGTGACAATCATGGCAGAGTCTGTGATCAAGAATCCTGCCTCCCCTTTACACCACATAACAGTTCAGGCTTCAGAGAAGACAGAAGCTCATCACTGCCAAGAAGTTCATTCAAAAGGGGTTCATTCTGAGACAGGCAATTTACGGCGGAAGTCTAGTGTGGGTGGTGGCTGGTGTCCTAGAGGATGTTCCCCTACAGATCACAGCTGCAGGGGGCCCAACACAGGGGCCACGGCAGTGTGAAGGGGAGAGGGTTGGAGGTGGGGGATGGGCACTGCTCTGGGAGGATTTCTGCTTGCCCTATTTCCATGCTCTTCTTTTCTATGTATTCCCCAGGGTGGAGGTGTTATGAGCCGAACTCTGTTTCCCCTAAGTTCACATGTTGAAGCCCTAACGCTTGGTACTGCAGAACGTGACTGTATTCAGAGTCGGGGCCTTTACAGAGGTAATTAAGTTAAAATAAGGTTAAAACCAAGAAAATAATATGCTAACAATACATAGCCTTTGTGGTACCATTCAAACTAACTGACCCAAAACGGAACTAACTGTCTATACCTGACTGGCCCCAAGGCAGTCATCTTACCTTCAGTGGGTAACCCAGGAATCAAAGATGCAGTTGGCGCTTGAAGAGATGACCCAGGACAATTCAATTAAAAAAAGCCTGAGTGTGGTCACAAAGTCTGGAAATTGGTGAATGCACATAACAAAGGATATATTAGTATAACTTTACAATACATGGTATCTTCTAGAACACGTATGTCTGTATTTCCAGGCTTTACAACCTACAAATAAGTTCATTCACTACAATCACAAAGCCAAAGTCTCTTCCCACTTTACAAATCCAGCCTTCTTTAAACTGCACCTAAACCTTTAGTTTTCTTCCCTCTTGAGATTGTCACTGAAGTTCCTCTTTCGCTTACACACAAATGTAGGCCCAGATGGGGGACATTTTACTTTCACAACAGGATGCCTTGTCTGTGTGCTATGCCCCCAAAGGTGTCCCTGCGCCCACCTTACACCATTGAGGATGGAAATGAGACTAATTGCCACCACCAAGTAAGAGAACATGCCCCTTGGGAAAACCTGTACACAGAAATCTGCCTTTCTGGACAGTCAGCCTCACACAGTAGCAGTCAAAGCTCACAAAAATAACATCAGGAATGAGTGGTTGTCTGATGTTCTGAAATCATCAAAGCAGTGATCTATGCTGTGACAATCATGGCAGAGTCTGTGATCAAGAATCCTGCCTCCCCTTTACACCACATAACAGTTCAGGCTTCAGAGAAGACAGAAGCTCATCACTGCCAAGAAGTTCATTCAAAAGGGGTTCATTCTGAGACAGGCAATTTACGGCGGAAGTCTAGTGTGGGTGGTGGCTGGTGTCCTAGAGGATGTTCCCCTACAGATCACAGCTGCAGGGGGCCCAACACAGGGGCCACGGCAGTGTGAAGGGGAGAGGGTTGGAGGTGGGGGATGGGCACTGCTCTGGGAGGATTTCTGCTTGCCCTATTTCCATGCTCTTCTTTTCTATGTATTCCCCAGGGTGGAGGTGTTATGAGCCGAACTCTGTTTCCCCTAAGTTCACATGTTGAAGCCCTAACGCTTGGTACTGCAGAACGTGACTGTATTCAGAGTCGGGGCCTTTACAGAGGTAATTAAGTTAAAATAAGGTCATTAGGGTAGGCTCTAATCCAATTTGACTGGTCCTACTACAAAGAGATTAGGACCCACAGAGAGACCCCTGGGCACGCATGTACAGAGGGATTACATATAAAAGACGGCAACAGCACAGCCATGTGCGAGCCAAGGAGAGCGGCCTCAGAGGAAACCGACTTCCCGGCACGCTGGTCTCGGGCTTCCAGCCTCCAGGACTGCAGCAAAATCAATTTGTTATTAAAGCCACCCAGTCTGTGTGTGTGTGTTATTTGTTATGGGAGCCCTAACAAACCATTAAGGAGGCCTTCCTGAAAGTCAGGTCAACCAACACTTATTACAAAATTAAATCTTCTGGATTAATACTTTCAAAACCCCATCAACACAAGAAAATAAAGCTGGGCCCTTCCTCACCTTTTTGAGTCAGGCAGGTCAGGCAGGTAATTTATTTAAGTAAATGTGTTTCCAAGCCAGCTTTTAAACAAGATTTCTAATTATCAATGTGCTTTCACTCAGCAACCCTCCTCCACTTCTCCAACACCATCTTCACAACTCTTGCTTCAAGAGCCACTTAAGAAATAAATGATTCATGGCAACTGAAAGCATGGTAATTTTCTGTGAGGCATAATGGTTGGGTTTCTAGGCATATGGGTGATTTAAAAAATGCTACCCCTGAATCTTCTAACTTCTTCTGTGAGAAAAAGGCAAAAAGAGGCCCAGAAAGACCTAAAAAGATAAAATCTCTCTTTTGCAATATATATATATACACATACATATATATATTGCAAATATATATATATTTCTCCCCTAGGACTTAAAATTCTACCTTTAAAGAACAAAATAAAACATTCCCTTCAGGAAAAAAAGATAGCAGAAATGAACATTTCTGGTTCTGACCTAAGATGGGATGTGTGGAGTCCTGGATTTGAGAGAAGCTTCTTGTTCATTCACAGGACATGCTAACCTGCAAAGTCTCTCTGAATTTTGCATGGCCCATCTTCCCATTTTCACGCAGGCAGGGCTCTCTGTAAAGAGGGGCAGGTTGCTTTGCTAGTCATGACATGCACCCATGCTGTGTGTGACCTTGGGCCAGATGCTTCATCACACTGAGCCTGTTTTCTAATCTGTAATCCAGGGGAAAAAACACTTCTCTTACAGGATTGCTGTTATACTAAAGGAACAGCACAGTCCTTAGACACAATATTTCTCAAAAAGGGGTCTGTATACTCCTTGCATCAGACTCCTGGAGGCTTAATGAAGTCTGAGGTCCCATTCCACATTCTTAGATCAGGATGAGGTCTGGAAAGCAGCATTTTTTCACAAGTGAATTAAGACTAGTGTCCTTATCCTTGAATAATTAAGACTAGCTGCCCTTGACAGGCTGAGGGGCCTGGTCTGGGTCTGCCTGGAAGACAGGAGCCCAAGATCAGCCTTTTAGCATGAAGTCAGCATGCTGCCTGTTCTGCTCTTGGCAGGTACCCTGGGGTTCCACCATCTGGCCTCCAGCCCCAGGCCCCAGTGTCTGGTTCCAGGTCACCTTTTGTCCTGCTCTGAAGTGATCTTCCTAAAATACAAACCTGACCATACTGTTCCCTGCTCCAGAGCATGCAGCCTGAGCTCTCTGACCTCCTGGTCTCTTCCTACTGCCTGCATCTGCTCTGTCTAGGCTGGTCTCTGAATTGTGACCCACCTGGTTGTTCACTCAAAGTTCAGCTTAAATGTCACCTCCTCTGGGGTCTCTCCCTAGCTTATCAGTCACTCTCAAGAACATTAATACATTTACTTCTCTGTCTAGAACTCAGCTGCTGACACTTCCTTGTTTATGTGGTCGTTTCTTCGCAAAAGAAATGTTGGGGTAGGTTGGTTCGTTTGCTGCTCTACCCACTGCCTATCATGGTGCCTGGCATGCAGTAGAAACTCAGTGAGCATATGCTGAGTGGATGAGCGCATTCATCCATGATTGGCCTGTACCACTGCCAACCTTGGCAAGTTCTCAACTGTATGCAAGAGGCTGACAGAAAGAGCTGCACTTCTTACCATGCAAAGGGGCAGAATTTGGGTCAGAATTTGTGCAATGTCTGTGCTCAGGGGAAAGTGTTACAGAAACACAATTTCTGTAAACTGGCCCCATTAAATTAAAGAAAGCTGGCATTTAAATCATTCCTGTTTCTTCATCATGGTTTGTGAGGTGAGGCATTTCTTCTTTATTTTTTTGCACAACTGGATTTTCCATATTCACAAGAGATGTCCTTTCAATAGTTACTTGTGCATACTTGTTATTAATACCAATAGCACCTCACTTAATTCTATTTTCCTACCTACTGATAAAAATAAAAGTATTGTCTCAGGAACAAAATATCCCTTAACAATAAAGCAGTTGGGTACAGATAGCATTGTAAACCTGTCCATGTTATAACTGTTTTCAGCCCCTTTAGAAACTGTGGAACAACAGAGTACATCCAAAGGCATTCTAGCTTCAGAACGTCTAGAGAAGAGGCTTTATAAAGTGGGCTTTATAAAGAAGGCTATCCAAATGCATTTCTGTCCAACTCCTGGATTCTTTATTCTGTAAAGATTTCAGTGACCCATAGGTATATTAAGAATAAAAGAAAACTATGAATAGACTACAGTTCAGTTTTAGTAGTGGCCTTCCCCCCTCCATTAATTCAGAAAAAATCATATTCTATATTCAGTAGTTTCCTAGCAAAGAGCCTGCCACCCATCATCCTCACAAAGGAAAAGC